AGACAGACAGACAGACAGACAGACAGACATACAAGACCGCATTGGCGCTTCGCGCCATGCACCTTGGTCCTTGAAGGGTGGTATCCAGGCGGAAGGGCAAGAAGGTAAAACAGACACACTAGCTACAACTCCTTGTTGCCGTGTCCGACATCGTCGTCAGAACAATGTTATGCGCTACCTTGTCCTCATGCTTCCTCTTCCTCTTCCTCATGCTCGCCCTACCCTACGAAGTATTACACATCCTCCTGAGCTCTTTTTGCGGTGGCCCATCCTTGGAGAGCCCCTTGGGGGTCCCACGAAAGTTGTCAAGGGCTTCTTGGGGCCTTCTGGGTCCTCTGGGGACTTCCTCGGGACATCCTGATTCCAACCGCAGTCTCCCTGAACGACCAGGTCACGATTTGGAATGCTTCGGGGGGCGTCTTGGGGCCGTCGTGGGCTGTCATAGGGCTCTCTTCGGCCCACCTTGAGGCTCTGCTGGGCCGTCTTGGGGCTTTCTTGGACTGCCTGAAGCCCCCTTTTTGGTAGTTTCGGGACGATTTTCGGCCTCTAGGGTGGTCTCGGACGCCCAGAAGATTGAAGGACAGAGCATTCCCAAAATCAAAAAAAGTCTGATTGGATTTTTTGTTGGCGGTTCGGGGGCCTCTTGGGAATCATTTTTGGGCGTTTGGTGGGTGATTGAGGCTTCTTGGGGCTCTCGCGGGGCCGTTCGGCCGCCCTCCTGACCAATTTGGTTGGGCCCGTTGCTTAGGCCCAGCAGGAGCTTCCAGGAGCTCCGGAAAGCCCGGGGAGCCTTTTGCAGGGGCGTCCAGGGGACCTCCTGGGCCACGGATCCAGGGGGTCGGCAGCGGGGGTGTCCAACCCGGGGGGGGCCCCACACATCGGGATTGCGAAAATATCAAAAAAGAGAATACATACAAATTATTAAGAAATCGCAATCGCGTGCGACCCAAGATCAGTCGCGGCACACTTTGGACGCTCTGTTTCAGGAGTCGACGCGTGGCGCGCAGTGCTGTTCTTGTGCGAATGTTTGTGGCAAGCTGCCCTCGAGGCATCGACGAGCTGTGCGCGGGCCCTCTCTGCGACATGTTCGGCGCACGGGATGAGAGCGGCCAGGCCAGGCGGGGGGGGCGAGGGCGAGGGCAGTCGATGGCACGCTGCTGTTCACGACTGATCCGCTCACTCCTGCGCTTCCGTTTTTCGGCCACGCGCAGGGGGGGGGGGATACGGGGGGGGCGCTGAAGAAGGAACCCTTTTCGTTTGGGAGGGGTTCAGTGTTCCATTGTCGTTTTACAGTTCGCCCTAGGTTTTCGATCGGAAATCGAAGCTTAACTTATTGGAAACAGGGGCCTCGTTCCGTATTCAGGGTTCCTCTGGTCAACGCACCGACTGGAGGGAGGAGGGCAGGCTTCCAAGAAGCACCCATGTTTCTTGGGAAGGCGCGGGCCTTATCTCGCGCCTTCTAAGAGGCAGCCTCCTTCTGAGAAGCCTTCTCCCTCCCACTACCCCCCTTCAGGGCGCCGCCAACCCTTTTGCCTGAACATGCATAAACTAACTTGCGGAGGCCCGCGCGTATTTCTCGGGTCGGCGTTGGGCCCCCCTCTGGCGGCGCCTTTGGCGCTGCCCTTGGCGCGCTTCGCGCGCCAGGGAGGAGGATCCCGCGCCGATCCAAGAAATCAGCACGGACCTCCGATGTTTTTCGAGTATGCCTTTTTCCCAACCTTCATGTGTTGGGTTCTCGTTCTGAAAAGAGCACCGTGGTCTCCGTCACCTCCTCTCCTCCCGCCTCTCCTCCTCCTCCTCCTCCTCCTCCTCCTCCTCCTCCTCCTCCTCCTGCTCCTCTTCCTCCTCCTCCTCCTCCTGCTCCTCCTCCTCCTGCTCCTTCTCCTCCTCTTACTCCTCCTCCTCCTCCTTCTCCTCCTCCTCCTCCTCCTCCTCCTCTCCTTCTCCTCCTCCACTCCTCCACCTCATCCTCCTCTTCTTCCTCCTCCTCCTTTCCTCCTCCTCCTCCTCTCCTCCTCCTCTCCTCCCGTAATTATCCTCCTCCTCCTCCTCCTCCTCCTCTCCTCCTCCTCCTCCTCTCCTCCTCCTCCGCGTAATTATCCTCCTCCTCCTCCTCCTCCTCCTCCCTCCTCCTCCTCCTCCTCCTCCTCCTCCTCCTCCTCCTCCTCCTCCCTCTCCTTCCCCCCCCTCCGGTTTGCAGAAATATTCGAACCCCATACCACCACTCATGCCGAAATCGGCATTGATTTTTGTGGCGGGGAAGTGATCGGAATCCCCCTCGAGTGTGCAAGGGGTCGAGTAGATTGCCCATCTACCAGATAGGCCCAGAGGGGCTGGTCGAATTTGGAGGTATTCGGGCCTTTGCGTCGCATCTTGGCGGGCTTCCGGCCTCGGGATGCCTTTTTCAGCAGCTGCGCCCCGTCGATGGCGCCGCGGGAGGGCCCGAGTCGCCCCGAACGGTCGCCAGAGAGCCGAGTGATGACCCGAAAGCTGCGGGGCAGCGTTGGGCAACAGAGCGCGCCAAGGTCCGCCAGGGCGGCGGGGCCTCAAAGGCCGGCGCGGGCGGGCCGGAGCCCTCATGTGCGGAGGTGGGTATTCACGTCCGCTGGTGCTGCAAGCTGTGGAGGCTGGAGGTCGATAGGTGGACGTGGCTGTGGAGGGCAAGGTGAGGGGGATGGGGGCCAGGCCCTTGGGGGGGGATAGGTAAAACGACGCGAAGATCGGGACAAAATCGGATCGGGATAACTCGAAATCTCTGAGAATCGGCGGGTTTGGAGGATGTATTGGGCGCCGCGGCCGCTCCAGAGCGTTCCGGAACGCTCTGAGAGCGCTCCGGAACGCTCTGGAGCGATTTATCCCGATCCTGGCCCTGTTCTAATAGGTCATGGAGCTGCACAGCGTGTGCGGGCATGTGCGGGGAGCCCTGAGGGGAGGAGCGCTACAACATTGAGCCTTCTCACGGCGGGCCCCCTGTGTGAGGGGGGTGCGGGCTCCTGGGGGGGAGCACCTCGACCCCCCACCGCCCGTGCCTCGCCGTGACAGGGGGGCCAGATAGCCCACCCCTCCCAAGAACGTGCAGGTTCGCTGCTGGGGGCCGATCGCCGATCGATCGGAGATGCCACGCCGGTTCCCTGTCATTGACCCCCCCCCCTGGGGCCAGTCCGCCCCCGACAGTCAAAGCGCATAGTAAGGATGAGCGGCTTTCCCAGGGTACCCTTGCATCCTTGCACCTTCGGCCCATCATTGGCGACGTTCGCTGGCCAGCCCCGATCGAAAAACGCCCGCATGGCCTTCCATGGCCCTTGCATCCTTCCCGCGCATCGTTATTATGTGTCTTCGCCCCATCGGCGTCCCTCACAACAGGGGGCTCCGCTCCACGTCCAGCGTTCCCTCCCACCGTCCCCCCCCCCACGAGTCGCCCGGCCTTGAGGTTCTCCGCCGCTTTCGGTCTGTGCCTTTTCTGGAGCCCCAGGGTTGTCAGAAATCCGCTCGGATCGAGAAGCCGGTCCTGGGGAAAACCCCAGGGTCCAGGACCCGTTTCCCTTAGGAACCTTCGGGCGGGGTTGGTACCAGGATATGTATGTGTATGTTTTTGCATTTATTCACTACCTAGGCTCTGCCTAGAAGGGTTCTCACCCTGTATGCTTAAAGGGCCGGGCAGTGCTCCCCGCCCCGGGCGGTTCCCCCAGGATCCGCCCCGCGGTTCCCCCAGTGACGTCACCTTAGCTTGGCGTTGCTTATCTCATCTTAGCTTGGCCTAGCTTAACTTAGCTTAGCCTAGCCTAGCTTAGCTTGACTTGGCTTGGCTCAGCTTAGCTTAGCGCAGCGCAGCGTAGCATTAGCATAGCATAGCATGGCATGGCATAGCATAGCGCAGCATAGCATAGCATAGCATAGCATAGCGCAGCATAGCATAGCATAGCATAGATGTAGGTGTATATGTAGGTGTATATGTAGATGTAGATGTGAGTATCGCTGATGATGTTGATGTAGATGTAGATGCATGTGTAGATGTTAATGTAGCTGTTGGTGTAGATGTAGATGATGCTTTCCTAGATGCTCCAACTCCTAGGTAGGGTCGCACTGGGATAATGTGTATATAGTCGCATACGTACATGCATACATGCATGCATGCATACATAAATACATGCATACATACAGACAGACATACAGACATGCATACATATATACATACATACATACATACATACATGCATACATACATACATGCATACATACATGCATACATACATACATACATACATACATACATGCATGCATACATGCATACATACATACATACATGCATGCATACGTGTGAGCGCATATCTTTATTTAGGTGCATGTATATAAATGTGTGTATGATATATATATATATATATATGTATATAGAGAGAGAGAAAGAAAGAAAAATGACATGTATGTCGTTCCAGGGCGTTCTGGAACGTTGCCAGAGCGTTCCGAGGCGCTCCGAAACGGCCGCGGCGCCCGAGACATCACACAGAGCCGCCGGATCTCAGAGGCCCCCGATGATGTCCCCTGTCCTGGCTTCGTCTGCAGGGTGAGGAGGCCATGTTTTTCCAGAGTGCTGAAACATAGCCTTCCAGACCTGTAATTAGACCTATCTGGGCTGTCTAAAGCCGCGCCTGGAGCTTAGGTGTCGAGATCCTGGTGCTATCTGCACAGTCGGACGTCGAGCAGGGCAATGATCCCGAAATGGTACGCGATGGACATACAAGCATGGCGTATAAGAGCACGGCAGAGCACAGCATGTCATGACCGACGGAAGCGAGACCAGCGCAGCTGCGGCTTCACGATCTCGAAGGACTGGGAGTGCGGGAGCGAGGCCGGGACCGAACACGGGAACAAGGCCACCGCTGCAGCGGGAGCACGGTTTGGAAGGACCTCCTCCTCCCTCCTCCCTCCTCCTCCTCCTCCTCCTCCTCCTCCTCCTCCTCCTCCTCCTCCTCCTCCTCCTCCTCCTCCTCCTCCTCCTCCTCCTCCTCCTCCTCACAACGGGGGCTTGACCTAAACGGTGGTTTTCGTGTCCGTTCTGTTTTTGTTGTCCTCCGTTCCGTGGGGCTACAGCGACAGCGCTACTTGGAAGGTCCGAACACGCCAGTGTTGCTGCGGGAACACGGTTTGGAACAACCAGCGGGAACAAGGCCAGCGTTGCAGCGGGAGCATGATGTTCAATGACCGAAGCGCGGAAATGAGGGCGGCGCTGCAGCGGAAGCACCAGTTTGAAAGAGCCGAAACGACCGGATTGAAAGAATCAGAAACGACCGTAATGAAATGTTGTGCGCTAAAAACAGTACGCGGAGAGGACGGGACACTCTCCGGACAGAGCCAGGGACGATAGGAGAGTAGTCTTCAGATTGTGCAATTGTGGAGAGGAGGAGAGGGGGAGGAGGGAAGGAGAGAGGGAGGGGGAGGGAGGAGGGGAGGGGGGAGGGGGGGAAGAGAGGGAGGGGGAGGGGAGGAGGAAGGAGCGAGGAGGGGAGGGGGGAGTTGTTTTCCTTGGAACAGGGACCCTGACCTTCCAGGAGGACCATATCCGCCACAAAAAATATGCACAGACGCCCTCCAACGGAGAATGCCTGGGCCTCACGGGGATGGTGGCGGTGTATAAGTCACCACTGGGAGCCCCGCGGTTTTACATGCCGCCGCCCTCCCTGAAGGTGCATGCAAAATTCGTCGGAGGGCCCCTATATCTATATATATATATATAAATATTCGTGGCGTACACGAGATATCACCAGAGCCTTGACGTCTGAGCTCCCGTCGAGGTTTTACGTGGCCCAGATAGGCCTGTCGGTCTGGAGGGCTAGTTTTCAGCATCCTGGGAATGCTGCAGCGCGCAGCTGGTTTCTTGGCCCCACCGCTGGGCGCGCTCCTCGACACATGTCGGCCGACCCGACCTGACCTCCTGCGGCCCCCGAGCCTGCCGAGCAGACCTGCACGCCAATCCATGGGCCAAGTGTTCGAGCAGGGCTCCCGTGTCCCGCCCAGGCCGCGGTGTGCGAGGCAGGACGGGCCGCAGCGGGGCGTTAGTTGGGGCTTCCAGTGGAAGGCCAGCGGAGCCAGTCCGGGCGATCGAATTCGGCATTGGTCGCGGCGAAAACCAAGCTGTCACCATAGCGGCGGGGAGTGGAAGATAGGCGAAGGAAGTCAGGCCGAGGAGAGGGGTAGAGGAGGGGGGGAGCACCCGTGCGAGCAGAAAATCCGACTCGGCTGAGCTGGCCCGAAGGCGCTTCACGGTGCACACACAGCTGAAGCCAAAGCCAAAGCTGAAGTGCACAGAAAATGGAGAGGGCTCACCCTGCAGGTTTGGTTGACAACACATGGCGGAGCGGTGCTGCAGCCTCCCCTGAGCACAGCCCCCCCCCGAGAGGAGAGGGGGAGGAGAGGGTAAGGCCCAGAGCCCCCACGTCGTCATTTTTCACAACGTCGGCCCCCCAGAGGTCTGGACCCCTTCCCCGGGACCGGTTTTTCGTCCCGAGTCGTTTTTTGACGGTCCGGGGGCCCGGCGAGGGTCCCCAGAGGCCGAGAATAGCGAAACATTTCCCGTCGTGATTCTTGTTTCACGACGCGAGGAGCTCTGGAGAGGGGGATGATCGAATGAGGGGCAGGAGGAACTGAGGAGGGCGATGGGGGCCCGACGGGGTGTGATGGGAGCAGGCGTCGAGGCCGACGCTCGTGCACTCGCGAGGGGAGCAGGGCGGCCCGGTCGAGGAGGCAGTGGGCGGTGGCCTCGGGCGGCAGCGGGAGGCCGCGGAGAGCTGGGGCCCGAAAGCGGCGGCGAGCCCGAGGGGGGAGCTTCGAGGTTCGAGGTTTTAGGGCGTCGTCGTCGTCACTCTGAAGGGGCCCTGGGACACACAGATAAATACACACAAATTGAAAAGATCCCCGATATGTTCCCATACTTTCTGGGTTTTTGTCTCCCCCCCACTTTCCATATTTTCCCATATTTTCTGGGAATCGACGAAGAATTGTGTCTGTGTGTTTCTTTGCCTCCTGACACTCGGCGGTGTGCCAGCCTCGGGGTGCGATCCAGCAGCTGCCCCCCGCCGAGGGCACTCCAGAGGTGCCGGCATCGCCCCGCACGGCCACCGGGCCAGCCGAGCTGTGAGCGACAGCCCACCAGGCGTCCACGGAGGGGCGGCGCGGCGGGCCTCCTCAGAAGGCTCGGAAGTTCACCACCCACCAAACCACCCCAACCCAACCCGAAGGCTCAGATTTACCCTCGATTTCCAGTGGGGGGGGGGGTCGGGAAACATCGAGAAAACACGTGTGGAACCCTTAACCCCCCCCAACCCGAAATTCGGGTCTTCGGGTTGGGTTGGGGTGGTCTGGTAGGTAGTCAGAAGTCCCCCGGCCTTCCGAGAAGGGTTCTACGCCTTCCCCGAAGGCGACACAGGAAGCGTGCCTGAATGCCGCAGGGCTTCCGAGAAGCCCCGCCGCCTTCGGAGAAGGCCTTCTCCTTCTCACTTCCCCCCCCCCCCTCGCTCGCCGCCGACAGCAGTGGGAGGGGACCAGGGAGCTACAGAGTTTACCATGTACACGCTGTGGGCCATGTCGAGGACAGCACTGACCGGCGAAGCGGCCTTGCTTGGCATACCGTTGGAATCACGTTTTGCATGGTTGTTTCATTCCCACCTGTCTCCAGCTCGTATTGCCATTCTGCCTTTGTCAGGCTGCCACAGCTCTCAGACTGGCCCTTCCTCTTGGCGTCGCAGCTCAGACGGTCGATGCAGTGCTGCAGGTTGCGGTGGAGCTGTACTAGCACTGTCAGTCGGCGCATGTCACGACACCTCCTAAGATCACATTTCGGCAGTTAGCACGTTGGCCTCCAGTGCATACATATTGTATTTCAATCGTGCCATACATGCGGCATGAATATCGGTATTATTCATGTCCCTGCATCAATGGCAGGAAAGACCGCGAGTGCATCTACTCCGTGGAGAAGATGGACCACGTCTCTCTCTCTCTCTCTCTCTAGCTCTCTCACCGTTTCTCTCTCTCTCTCTTTCTCTTTCTCCCTCTCTTCTCTCTCTCTCTCTCTTTCTCTCTCTCTCTCTCTCTCTCTTGCACATCTACGCATGTGTACACTCGGGTATATATGTATATCCGAGTGAGGGGGCCGAGCGGTCATTCATTTTCCCTGGGTGCGTGGCTGAAGTGGGGTTCCGCGGTGCGGATTGTTCTTGCGGTGTTGCGTTACGTTGTTGCATTTCTGTCGTCGTCCTTGGCCGCGACCCACCCGCGCTCCACCTCGCGACCCACCCCGTGACCCCACCCTGTGACCCACCCGCGACCCACCAATTTTGCTTTGACGAAAAAGTCTGCGCCTGCGGCTGGCTCGTTGTGCAATGTGTAAAAAAACTACGACTGCGGCGGGCTTCTGCAGAGCTCCGCAGACTGCCGACGACCCCGTCGCCACTTTACTCGTATCCGTAGTTGCAGGGTGCAGTGCAAACATGAATAATTTGTGGGAGAGAGATGTACACGCATGCATGCGTATATGCCTACGTACATGCGTACATATATACATGCGTACATACATACATACATGCATACATACATACATATATACATACATACATACAGACATACATACATACATACATACATACATACATACACACATACGTATACACATACATATATATAAATATATATATATATATTGTATATATATACATATACATATACATATACATATACATATACATTTACATATACATATACATATACATATACATATACATATACACATACACATACACATACACATACACATACACATACACATACATATGCATATGCATATGCATATACATGCGTACCTACATGCATACATACATGCGTACATACATACGTACATACATACATACATACATACGTACGTACGTCCCTACATGCATGCATGCATGCATACATGCATGCATGCATGTATGCATGCATACATACAACATACATACCTATATACATACATACATGCATACACACATGCATGCACGCATGCATGCATGCATACATACATACATATAGACATACAGACATACAGACATACATACATACATACATAGACACACAGACAGACAGACATACAGACAATCAGACAGACATACATTATGTATATACATGTATGAGCCTTCGGCCCATACCAGCACCGCGCCTGACTTGTAGCTCAGGGGCCTCCTGGATGCTTGTGAGGATCTCTTGTGAGGCCTCTCGGGCGCCTCTTGGAGGCGATGTTGGGGGTGTCTTGGGGCGTCTTGAGGGCCTCCTGGGGACCTTTTGGGGTCTGACGTGGGCCTCTTGGGAGCTCTTGAGGCCTCTGGGGCGCACCTCGGGGGCTTGTGGGGGGATCTTCGGGCCATCTTGGCGCGGAGAGCTCAAAATGTCGGCTCGTGTTCCCCATTGTGGGCCCCTCTTGGGGCCGTCTTGGGCCCCATCTTGGGCCCCTCTTGGGGGTTCTTGGGCCGCTTGGCTCTTGGTCCGTTTTGGGGTGATCTCGGGCGCCTCTTGGGCCGTCTTGACGCTCTGAAAACCAAGATTGCGAGAATATGAAAATCATACAAAACAATGGATTGTGGCGATTTGAGTTCCTCCCCAAGAGGGCTCCAGGACGGTCCCCGGGGCCATCTGAAACTCTGTTGGACATGCATGTCCCGAGCAAAGCGCTCCTGGCCTGTCGAGGAATCACGCGCCCCCCCCCCCCCCACCCAAAAGCGAGCGGCAGAGCTCGAGAGCGCCCACAGAACTCCAGGTTGCCAGCCCTCGAAAGAGTACTTGCTGAGCTCAACACGGAGAACTCTGCAGGCCCGAGGACACTCCACTTCGTGCCTCGAGACACGCTAGCGGATATGCACATGCGTACGCGAGTATAGATATGTGTTTATATGCATGTATCTCTTATGTGTATATATACGCAGATGTAAACGTATAGTTGTGTAGGTATATATAGCTACATATACATATACGTCTATGTACATATACAGATCTACATACAGATACGTATACAGTTATAGATGTATATAGATCATCGCTCCCTGTGTCGCAGATAGCTGCTTCTCGTGATCAAGCAGACGCAGTGCTTCCCACAAAGGAGGACATACGGAACACGCCATACCGAAAGCGTGGCGGGCGGGCGGGAACCGCCCTGAGTGTGGCCCAGACTTATGAGGAAATCGCCAAGCGCCCGCGTCGCAAAAGAGCTGTAGCAAAAGAGCACGGCATCGGAGGCATGGGCGTCCACATGTCTCTCTTCATTGCCCTTCCTGTCGGTGCAACACGTCAGATAGCCCAATGATATTTCGACCGCTGTGTTTGCTGTTCCGCCCGCGACATTTCTGAAGGTTGAACCTGCACTTCGTGCGCATCGCCCATTAGTGGCGGTATTGTGCGGCCGCGCCGGCGACCGGCACATGTTTCTACATACCAGTATTGTTGCACAAGCTGTCACTGCCCCGAAGTCGAATTGTTGTTGTTGTCGATGATGATGATGATGATGATGATGATGATGATGATGATGATGATGATGATGATGATGTTGTGATTATTGTTGCTGGTCGTGGTGGACACGCGACCCAGACCCCCGCCCCCTTCCCCAGCAACCAGCAACCCAGGAGACCCCTTTCAGGGCGGCTGTTGGATCCCGAAGGAATCCTTAATAGGATTCCGGGAGGTTCCTGAAAGATTCTCGAAGGATTCTGGACAGATTCCTGAAGGATTCTTCCGGATTCCTGGCGGATTCCTCGGGGATTCCCGAGGGATTTGCTATGGATTCCTGAGGGACTCTTGGATCTTGAGGATTCCTACGGGATGCTTGAGAGAATTCCATCGGAATCTGAAGGGTTCCTGAGGGGTTTCTGTGCGTTCCTTCGGGATTCTGAAGGGAATCCTTGATGAAGGGATTGCTACGGATTTTTCGATTTTGGATTCCCAAAAGGATTTCTGAGGTATCCCCTGACGGATTCCGACGGGATCCCTGGGGATTCCTCAGGGGTTTCCGAAGGATCCCAGAAGAATCCTGAAGAATCCTTAAAACAATTTCAAAAGACACTTGCAGGATTCCTGAGGTGTTCCTGAAGGATTTCCGAAAGATTCCTGGAGATGCCCTAGGGATTTCTGAAGAAATCCTGGGGGATCCCTTGGCAATCCTCAGGGATTCGTGAAAGATTCCGGAAGATTCTTGTTTCCTAAGGCATTGTTGAAGGATTATGGAGGATTCTTTCGGGATTCCTGAGGGATTATTGGGGCAATCTTTCTATGGATTCCCGAGGGAGTGAGTCGCCAAGGATTTCAGAAGGATCCCTGAGGGATTCGCGAGGGCTTCCTGAGGAAATCCCGATCAAGTCCTGCGGGATTTGCGAAGGGTTCCTGAGGATTCGCAATAGATTCCTGGAGGATTCCTCCGGGATTTCGCAGGAGTGTGGTGGAGGCTTGAAGGATTGCCCCTCGGTTCCTGAAGGATTCCTGAGGATGCATGAAAGATTCTTCCGGTTCCTTGAAGAATTTCTGAGGAGTCCTAAAGGATGCCAGAGGGAATGCCGCATGGATTCCGGAGGATTCCTAAGGGTTTCTTTGGGATTCTTCACAGGTTCCTGGGGATTCCGAAGGGAATCCCTCAAGGAGTCATGAGGGAATCGTGCGGGTTCCTGAGGGATCCCTGAGGAGTCCTAAGGGATTCCTGGGGATGCCGCTGGGACCCCTTCCGGGATTCCCAAGGGAATCCTGAAGCTTTTCGAGGCTTTCTAACGCTTGCCTGTTGTGAATGATGGGAGTGGCCGCGATGATGATGACGACGATAATAATGACCATCACGAGGATGATGATGATGGTCATGATTATGTTGGTGGTAATTGCATGATTGTGGTAAGATGGAGGGTGATGATGGTGAGGGTGACGATGATGTTTGTGGTGGTGATAGGGATGGTGCTGATGATGATGATGATGATGATGATGATCAGGACGAGGACGAGGATGGTCATCCTCATCCTTATCTTCCCACCACTTCCACCTCTGCCATCCCACCATCCTTCACCACTCCCATTTTCCCACCACCCCCACCTCCTCACCACTCTGTATTCTCCACCACTCTGGCACCATCATTGTTTTGTTGTTCATTCGCCAGGCATCCTCATCAAGGAATCTTTAGTGCGGGATCCTTTTGTAAGGCGTCTTCAGTAAGGGATCCTTAATAAGTAAGTCGTGATAAAAAAAAAAAAAAAGGTTCTTCGATACGAAGTCCTTACGAAGGAGTCCTTAGTAAGGAGTTAAAAGCACATTGGTAAGGAATATTTATAGTAAGGAGCTTCTAGTAAGGGACGTTCATGGGGTCCATAATAAAGAACCTTGACTTGTGAACCCTTAGTAAGTAACAGGTCCTCACCAAGGGATCCTTACATCGGCCCAATGAAAGTTCCTTGAATTTTCATCACGACGCTGGCCCGCGGAAGTCGACGGAAGTAAAACGAGGCGGAAGACGGGGGAAGGCCGCTGGAAGGCTTGCCAATGTCAGCGGAATTTAACGACGCCCCTTCCGAACCCCCTACCCCCCGTAGAAGCCTAGCAATGTTGTCTTCCTCCGTGGGCCGGGCGGGATCCCGCCTGGCTTATTCCGCTTTAATATTATAAGTTTAGTTCAGGACGATCAAAATCCCACCCATTAAAAATGGGGTAGACCAAAATCCCGGGTCGTTCACGGATCCCACCATGCTGGGATCGGCTCGAAGTAAGATGGGGCTCATAAGTTGCAGTATTATTGCCGTGTTGGGGTCGTCTTCAGGTCATCTTGAGATCATATCCCGGTCATGTTTGGATCACGCAACCATCGCGTGATCATGATGAGGCCACCCTGGGTGCGCTTGGATCCATCTTGTTGCCATCGGGCCATCTCGGCGTCATGCGTTGCTCATGTGTTGCGTCATCTGCGAGTCGGCCTGACACGGTCCAGAATCCATGGCGGGA